CTGTAAAAACGAATGAGACATTCAGGATTGCATAATATAATTGCACAAGACAATGTGAATAGTGTGTATTTTATTTTAAAACAAGCATTTTTGAAAAATATCACATAAGCATTTAAAAATAAAACAAGCATTTAAAAAATTATTTGAATAGTGTAAAACTGATATAAGAAAACTTAACAGCATACAGTATAATTTAAAAGTGTTTAAGGTTGGATAGTAACACAGATACTCTCATTTTGATCAAAAAATGTTTACACCAATTTATATTGATCTATTAAATAAATGTTGTGATTGATACTTAATTTTTTTGGTAATTTGTAAATATGCCCACCTCTACAAGTTAAATATTTGTCACGTCAATTTAAGTTTTATTTTCCTAGTTTAGATTCAAAGCCAGGTGTTTACATTATGCTACTTATTTAATATTGACATTGAAATAAACCTTTTGTAATTATTGAGTGGATTTCTTAAAATCAAAAAAAAATGTATAATGTGTTAGCTTCGAGTTTAAAAAGCTGTCTAATTTATTAATCCTTCCTATTTAACTATATTTCCGTTCTTGTCGTCTTTCTACCTTGAGTTGAGAGATGCGAGGGTCGGAAGAAACATGCAGGAGACGTAATCGATGCCGCTTGATCCATTACACAGTCTACGCGGCTTAACTAAATTTCAAAGCGCGGTTCCGGAGGTAGAAGCCGAGCAGCGTAATGCTTACCAACATGTGTCACCGAGTAAACATCAGCGCCTAAGCGTTATGCGTTTGCAAGCTCATCGAGGAGTCTCATTCATTCCATTACCGCCAACATGAAAGCTGGTGCTATGTAGGACAGAATACATTTGATCGACAATGCCTTGTAGATTTCAGCTCGTATCTCCGAATTGTTAAAGTGTAAAATTATCTATTAGTGATAGTGATTAGTGATTAGGTCTTACAAGAACAACCACATTTTTATTATTATTAATATTATTATTATTATTGTTATTATTATTGTTATTATTGTTATTATTATTGTTGTTATTATTGTTATTATTATTATTATTTCAACCCACATTGGAATGTCATTCCTGCCGGTCTGTTTTTTTTATAGAAAAGAACGGGTCGTACTACCCACGGTGATACTCTCTGAATTAAGGGAGATTGATATGAATGGAAGTGAATGAGAAGGAAAGAGATCACTCTCGGTTTGAGACTCTTGAGTACGGTACTGCTCGGACATGCGCCGGCATTTGTTCAGGGAAATCCTATCGACCTACACGCTATTTACAGGCTTGGCAAGGAGAAATTTGCAGATAACAGAACCTTAATCTTTGCAATCGAGAAACTTTCCTGTTTCGAACTCGCGATTTTCCAGTTATTATCATACAACCTCATGAATTACATGAATAGTTGCATCTATGGGTGATATTCATCAATGAACTACGGTGAACGCCTTCTACGGGTACTTCGCATGAAGGTTTCTGATTTCTGGGTGTTTCATTTATTACCCCTTACACGTACTTTCACCTGAACAGATTTAAACTACATATATAAAGAAGCACTAATTATATGTGAATTACGTGGAACATCATCCACTACCTATAAGCTAAAATCTTGATTGACGACGATTGGCGCGCGGCGATGCTGTAATGCGCGGCGATGTTGGCGGGTTCAAACCCGATCGAAGCCGTGGATTTGTAAGGTCGAAAAAATCCTTCGTACGCCTTC